GAGTCAGGCACTGGGTTCGAGCCCTTTTCACGAAAAATATGATCACAACTGAGATGAGCCCTATGACTGACATTGCTGCAATCTCGGACACGTGTGCGAGGTAGTACATCATGACATTCATCCCAGTACAACCCACTTTGACTTGACTTGACTTGTGCCGCCGTCGGCGTTTTCCTCGCTCGATGTCGATGGTGCGGGTCGAGGCCGGCGTCCGATGACGTGCTCTGGAGCCGGCGTCTGATGTTTTGTACCGGTCGTGTGCTGGGCGGCTATTCGTCCCTGGAGCGTAGCCCTCGCGCTGGTTGGATGGTGGTGCTATCTCATTTCACGCTGCGTTGCACGGTCGCTCCCCCGAGCTAGTCTCACTATCGCCGCCACCCCTGCCAATTTCGTGCCGCGTCGAGAGCGAACTCTCACATTACGCCGGGTCGCAGTGCTTCTCGCACACCTGCTCATGCTTCTCGCGCACCTGTCCATGCTTCTCGGAACTCGTTCAATTGCAATGTGTCTACGCCAGCAGCCGCACATCGTCAGAGTCCTCTTAGTCGCGCCCGTGCGGAGTCTCTTCCTGGGCCAGGCGATCCGCCTGCCGTCGGTCACGCCAATGTCGATGTGCCTCTTCCGTCCGTGCTGTCTTCTTCCCATTCATTCGCTGTTGCGTCGTCATGTAATCGAGCTCGAGCGGCATTGCTTGTCGCAACGGCCGAAGGTCAAAGGTGAGTGCCAGCGCCGTCGCCTCTGCTGTCCTTTCCGCCTCGGCCGCCGCCATCGGGGCATCCGGATGCCGCACCCGCCACGCGCTCGATGGTACCGCAGAAGCCTGCAAGGCGGAGTTGATCGCGCCTGGCTGGGCGTTGTTTGCTCGCAAGAGCCCCAAAACCACCCGCTCCGAAGACGAGGCCGCCGACGTTGGCTCCAAAGGTGTCGTCGCCGGCGGTCCAGTTTGAGCGCGGCGAGCGCGGCAGAGTTCCGCCAGGCAAGAAGCGCTGAAGCGGTATCGGGCCACCAGGTCGCGCAGCTCCTCGACGCCGGCGACGCGAGCGCGGATCCTGTGGGCATCGCACAGACGATTGATGGCGTTGCGGCCACCGGTGCCGTGCACAATCGCAAGGATACAGAGCGCTCCCGATTCGACGCGGCTAGTGGCATCTCGGACGTACTGGAGTCTACGAAAGACGAATAGCTCCATGAGGTGCTCTGAGTCAGGCACTGGGTTCGAG